CTTGGTGGCATTAAGTAAGTAATTATCAATAAGAAGGCACCAAACCAGAAAGGCTATGTATCACCATCAAATGTGCGGGATAATCAGAGGGCGCTAAATATCACCAAGGATGCCAATACGAGAACAGAAACGCATAAGGCGAACAATATCAAAAGTATCCGAGTCACCAAGAATACTATAGAGAGACAAACGACTGCGGGGGACAGTCGGAAAACAAGACACACGCTCGTCCCGGAAGTCAGGACATTCAACAAGGATATGCACGACCGTAAGAGGGACAATGCAATTATGACAATAAGGAGCAGGGCGGCGCTCCATCAAGTGACCATGGGTTAAGCGAGTATGGCCAATACGCAACCTTGCCAGAGCTGTTTCCCATCGCCGGTTACGGTGGTAGGAGGACGGCCACGAGGAAACACAACTTTTAAGAGAACATAGTTTGTTAAGGGTAACAGACGACCAACAAGCTTGCCAACGGGTAAGAATGGAGGAATGGATAACCGAGTAAAAGTCGGAATAAGGAATACCTTTACGAGAGATGGGACAAGAGCGGACAGCTTCCCTGGCGGCAACATCCGCTGGCTCATTTAATTAAAGAGACACCAATATGGCTGGGAACCCAACAAAACTCAACTGACTTAAATTTACTGTGAACAAGAAACTATCTATATATCAATCCATTAATGTAACATCACTTGTATGTATATTCCTTTCCTGAATAAACATCTGAATCTGAATCTGAATCTGAAACAGCCAATGCTGGATCTCGACAACAACAGGATGAACTGGATTAAAGGACTCGAGAGCCATGAGGGCACTTCGAGAGTCAACAACAACTACAAAGGAAGGCTGACAACGAGATAGCAGGAGACGAAGAGCATAGAGAATAGCATAACGCTCCGCTGCGAATATGCTAGTCTCCAGATCACACATATAGGCGCACTGACAACGCTTACAACGCTTACAGAAGGCCATATAAGTGTGATCAGGAAAAACAACAGAGTAGCCAACACCGTCCGCAGACTAAGACCCATCGGTGAAGACGTAAACGGAGCGGGAGTGAGAATAAAAAGTGCTCAAGGAAAAGGCGTTTTAGAACCAAAGGAGGGGTAAAAGCTTTAGGGATGCGGGTCAAGGATGCACAAAACTGCGAAAGGGGGGACTCTCCATGGGGGCAAACAAGGAACAACACGAGGAGAAATATTAGAAATACGAATGGAAAGATAATCCTGTAAGCGAGACAACCGGACAGAAAGAGGGAGGTGGTAAAGAGGAACAGGAACCGCAGGAGGGGTAAAAGTTAAAGCACAACAGAGGCGAGAGGAAGAATGTTGCAAGGACCGCGCAAGAAAGCGAAGACAGTAGCGATCACGGCGGTCCTGGAGAGATAGGAAGCCAGTGTCAATATACAAGCTGAGGACGGGATTAGAACGAAAGGCACCAGAACCGAGGCGCATCCCAGTATGGTGCAAAGCATCAAGACGGCGAAGAGTAGAAGGAGAAGCAGACGAGTAAGGAGGGCAACCATAATCGAGCTTAGATAGGACGAGAGAGAAATGTAAAGCAAGGAGAGTGCGCCTATCCGCTCCCCAAGAAGTATAGGACAATACCCGAAGGAGGGTAAGGGCCTTAGAGCACTCAACACGGAGGTAAGAGATATGGTTAGACCAAGAGAAACGAGTGCCAAAGGATAACCCTAAAAGCTTTGCGGAATCTTTGTACTCAAGGGGATGTCCATAAAGTGACAAAGAGGGACGAAGGACGGCCCGTTTCCTACTAAAAGACATGGCACAAGTCTTAGTAGTAGAGAACTTGAAGCCATGATCGTTGGCCCAAGACGACACGGCATCAATCGCAAGTTGAAGCCGGCGCTGAAGGAGAGGCGAATCATCACCCTGACAGCAAAGGGTAAGATTATCGACATAGAGAGCGGAGAAGAAGCCTGAAGGAAGAGAGGAAAGAAGACCATTGAGAGCAACCAGAAAGGGTAGTGCCCAGAACACTTCCCTGGGGCACATCTTCGTATTGCTGAAAAAAGGCAGAGAGAGCGGTACCAAGCCTCACCCGAAAGGAACGATGAGAGAGGAAGCTGCGGAGAAAGAGAGGGAAATGACCACGAAGGCCAAAAGAATGAAGCTGGGATAGAACATGATATCGCCAAGTGGTGTCATAAGCCTTTTCCAGGTCAAAAAGAACGGCAGCAACGGAGGTCTTCGCAGCAAAAGCAGTACGAATAGAGACCTCCAAGTTTACCAGGACATCTATTGTGCTGCGGCACTTGCGCAAACCAAATTGAAAAGGGGAGAGGAGGTGATGGTGTTCCAGGAACCAAATCAGACGAACGTTAACCATACGTTCAAAAAGTTTGCAGACACAACTTGTGAGGGCAATAGGGCGAAAGTCCTTAGGGGATGTTCCCAGAGACCCCAATTTGCAAACAGGAAGGACAAAGTCATCGAGCCAGTCCTCAGGGACTGACGACGACTCCCAGATCCGATTATACAGACTCAGTAAATACTGAGACGTGAACGGAGGGAGATGGCGAAGCATCTCATAATGAATGCCATCGGAGCCCGCTGCCGTAGAACCGCAGAGGGCCAAGGCAGAACGAAGTTCAGAGAGAGAGAAGGGATCGTTATAGGGAAGTCGAAGACGAGTGCAGAAATCTAAAGGACGAGATTCAAGGACAGGTTTACGAAGAAGGAAAGATTGGGGAAGATGAAAACCAGAGCTAACAGAAGAAAAGTGGGAACCCAGTTCGGTAGCGACCTGCAACAGATCCGCCACAAGAATACCACGGAGGTGAAGGACCGGTGAAACATCGGGAACGAACATACCCGCTATCTTGTGGATACGCTTCCAGATCTGGGGCAGAAGAGTTTCGGACATAATGGTGGAAACATAAGATGCCCAATATTCACGTTTAGCCGTACGGATGGCCCTACGGGCCACCGCACTCGCCTTCCGAAAGGAAAGAAGAGAATCGGCCGTCTGCCGACGGTGGTGTCTCTTCCAGGCTGCACACTTACAGCGGACAGCCCGAGCACAGTCTGCATTCAACCAGGGAACGCATTTCAGTGGACCCCGAGAGGAAGAGCGAGGAATAGAGCGGAGGGCAGCGTCGAAGACAGTGTCATGAAAAAGGAGGAGAGAGCGAGGGAGCGGCAGAAGGGAGAGGTCAGAGAGAGCAGCACTGAGGGTAAATAGGTTCCAGCCCGCTTTAGCAAACTGCCACCTAGGGAAGGAGAGGGGAGGGTGAAAAGAGAAAAGGTAACAAGGTTGGGTAAATGGTCACTGCCATGGAGGTCATCAAGAATCTGCCACGTGAAATCCAAGTAAAGAGAAGACGAGCAAAGAGAAAGATCAAGACAGGAAAGGGTGCGAGTCCAAGAGTCCAAATGCGTGGGCTCACCAGAATTCAGAAGAGACAGGGAAGAAGAGAGGATAAACGGCTCAAGAAGGCGACCCGGGTGTTCGTCAGAACATCACCCCAAAGGGAATGACGACAATTGAAATCACTCAGAGCACAGGCTCCGGCAAGAAGTCCAATAGGTGTTTCAGATCAGGAAGAGAAAGCGGGACACTCGGGGGAGATAAATGGAACAAACGTTGTACCATTTCCCCACAAAGATACGAACAGCAGAACAATGGAGAGGCGAAGGAAAAAGTAAGGGGACATCAGAGCTAATCAAGAGAGCGGAAGAGTTGGGAGCCCCAGTAACAGCCGGGGGGGGAGGGGAGAGAAAGGAATAGCCACGAAAGCGACCAGGACTAACACCAAGCATCGGCTCCTGTAGACAGACACAAAGGGGCGACAACCGCGAAAACAGAAGTTGGAGTTCAAGGAAATTGGCGTAATAACCCCAAACGTTCCATTGAAGAATAGACATCGACTAGAAGAGAAAGGACAACAGAAAACAATTAAGAAACAAAGGCGAAAGACCAACATAGCACGTTAAAGATGATCAGGGTCAGGATTGGGGGCATGGGTTAACTGAGGAAAGACGGAGGGAAGTAAGCGGGAGAACAGACCAGAGGTGGATGGGCGGGGTCCGGAGGAGACAACCGAGAGGAGCAGGCAAGGACAGCAGCAGGAAGAGGGGAGCGCACCTCAGCAAGGGCAGCAATCGAGAGGGAAGCGGGGGCCAAAGAATCCTCCATAGCAGGAACAGGGGCGCAACTACCGAAATGGGAGGGGAAGGAGCAATAGAGTCAGAAGTAGGGGCCGAGGAAGAAAGCGAATTAAGCCTTCTTACCCGCGAGGGAGGAGGAAGGAGAGGAGCCAGGCTTATACTTCTGACTTAAAGAGACAGGTGTCCCAGCAACTACGTACTGGGCAACGGATTCCAGCTTCTCAACAGAAGCTGAACGAGAGCAGACACGACGGCCGTTAGGAGAGCGATGAACATCAGCCCGCACTGACAGGTGGCGGGGAGAGTCGATAGACGGAGGAGAAGGATGGGAAGGAGGATCGGAGGGAGACGAGGAAGAAGACACAGGAGACATGACAGAACGGGTAGAAAGAAAGGGAACCCCAGACAGAGGACCAGGAAGGGGACCCTTCGGGACAGAACTCAAAGGAACAGAGGAGGGAGCAGTGGGCGTATCAGGGTCCAAGGCCCGGAAACGGTTGTGAGTCTGAGGAAGGTGGGAAGGACGAGGAGAGGAAGAGCGCAACACGCGAGCATAAGAGACGTTAGGCAAGAGCCGGCGAACCTGGCGCCTCGCCTCAGGAAAAGATAAACGCTCCCGGTGCTTCAAGTGAGGACGGCTAGCTGCAAGGATCAAGGCAAACAGTTCGGTCTGAAGGCTGTGAATTAACATTCTTGTTAAGCCACTAGCACGCATAACATTTCGGGCAAAGCCCGAAACGCTATGCGTACTAGTGGCTTTAGGCATTGTATGTACTATCTCTATCTTTAAATCCAACATTATGTATGTAACTCAATGTACGTACCTTTACCTGAATAAAAAAATCTAAATCTAATATAAACGAGTCTGTAGAGCGCCGGGCGAACAAGAGACAGTCGCCACCTGGCAGCATGTAAACAAAACCTGGCACCCTGCTCCGCGTCGCCACAACAAACGGGTCGACAAGCAGTCCTGCCAGGTTTGCCACGACAATGTCCGACCGAAGCACACAAATGAAAAACTCCATCAACCAGAAACTGGTGGAGACTGGAGAGAAGGAAAGGCTGAAGGATATGCTGCGGCAGCGGCTGACGGAGTGTGGCTGGAGGGACGAGCTCAAGGTTAGGGAGTAATTAAATTTTAAATTTTGACCCGAGGGGCGAGTTTATTGGGCAGCGCCACTCATCTTGTGAGTGGACATACCGCCATAGCAGCATGTACAACATTCCCCAATAGGAAGAAAACCCGCTGGGTTGTTCATCCTGTCACTTGTACCCAGACACAGCTGGGACTTGCTTAACTGTCTCAAGTGAACAGCTCTTCAAACAAGAAGATTAACATCTATCAACCCTTAAAAGTTTACGTTATCTTGCGGGTGCAAAATGGAGAAATCTTTTAAGAACAGTAACAATATTTGACAAATAGTGTTTTCCTAACTCAAACAATGTGGGGTTTATTACTCTACACATACTTCTGATTTCTCTCAGGTGTTCACATTTACGTAGATAGTGGTCAAGGCGGTGTCCATCACTCTCACCACAGATTCTGCAACTTCGCTGATCAACTGTTGTTTCCATTCCATATCTCCATGGATATTTGTATCCAAGACGGATTCTCGCTATTACTGATTATCTCCCTCGTCCTCCTCCTCTTCGGCCATAATGATTGGGATTGCCAGCTGCAACCATATTGTACCAGCGTACAGATTCACTGATTTGTGCTTCTATCCTCCTTTCCTCAGTTACCTTGTCACGGTGATGTTGCCTGACAATACCTCTAATTTGTAGTAGAGAATTGGGTATGAAGTATTCAATATGGTCTCCTTCAGTGCCTTCAGCAGCCAGCACATCTGCTCGTTCATTCCCACATATTCCAACATGGGAGGGGATCCACAGAAACTTGATGACTCTTAGGGAATAATATCCAAAATCACTTATGTCCTCTAAATACCCAACACAAAGCTGCTGTTTGAACAATATCTAACTGGCCCCAGACAGCACTTGGCACCCTTACTCAAATCTCTGAATATGTTAGATATTAAGTCACTGCACATCCTCTCTTGTGTGCTCTATATATTTAAAATTGAATTGTAATGTCAATCCTGACCTTCAACGCTTCCTAGAAGGTTGTAACAGAACTCATGTGCACCACACCAGAAACAAATACCTATTTGATATTCCAAGAGTGAGACTTAATCAAACTAGGAATGCTCTACAAATCAAGGGACCCATAATGTGGAATGACCTTCCCAATCATGTCAAAGATTGTACCTCTCTCAGCCATAGTGAGATGAAATCTAGGTGCTACCTAATTGACTCCATGTAACCTACCTTACTTATAAATGTCAACCAATGTCTTACTATTTAAAAAAAAAATGCTGTTTGTTGACCAACTTGTATATTGGCTATTTCCTACCATGTTCCCCCCCTTTTTTTCATCTTCTATTATTTTCTTTCAACTCGATTTATACTTTTAAGCTCAATTACTATTAAGTTTTAGTCTAAGTGTTTTTTTCCCCACCGCACCTTGCCCGAAACACTATGCGTACTAGTGGCTTTAGGTATTGTATGTGCTACCTCTATCTTTAAATCTAACAGAATATTTGTACTGTACTGTAACTCTGTAACTATGTATGTACTTTTCCTAAATAAATTAATAATAATAATAATATTATTATTATTATTATTTACCTGAATTTACTTGATGGCCGCTAACAATTCAGTGGCCTCGATGAGGGCAGGATGCTAGCTGCATAGCCACATTTGCCCTGATGATTTTTTCCAGCTGCATTTAAAAGTAGCAGTTTTGTCTTTGACGGCTTCGGCGGGTAGGTGGTTCCGGTGTTAATAACCCTGTAGGTACCTGCTCGATGGGGTTCTGGGAGTTGTTCTTCTCCCCAAACCCGGCCTGACTTGTGAAAGTTTGGTCTCACCGAGTATTAAGTTTTAGTCTTAGTGTTTTTCCTGCCTGAAACGCTTTGCGTAATAGTGGCTTTAGGCATTGTATGTACTAGCTCTATCTATAAATCCATCAACTTTTTGTATCTCACCTTGTATGTATGTACTTTACCTGAATAAATATTTGTATTTGTTGTATTTGGTCCACCAGCCTGTTGCTTGGAGCGGCCCGCAGACTCACATACCTACATACTCACCACAGCCCAGTTGGTCCGGAACTTCTTTTAGAAAACAGTCTAGTTTTACTTAAAGATGTCCACAGTTGTTCTGGCAATATTTCTTATAGTCACTGGGAGGGCGAAAAAGCATCTCCTGTGTTCAATCCTACAGTGTGGCCTTGCTTTTAGCTTGAAACCGTTGCTCTTTGTTGGTGTTACATCTGACCTTTGAAAGAAATTGTTTGGATCAGCATCCTCCAAGTACAGTTTTTTAAAAGCTTCGATGAGATCTGGTCTGTCATGCCTTGTTTCTTGTCTTGTAATTAATTTGTTTTGTTAGGGGACGGAAGCATGTATGTACTCACCTAGTTGTGTTTGCGGGGGTTGAGCTCTGGCTCTTTGGTCCCGCCTCTCAACCGTCAATCAACTGATGTACAGATTCCTGAGCCTGCTGGGCTCTGTCATATCTACATTTGAAACTGTGTATGGAGTCAGCCTCCACCACATCACTTCCTAGTGCATTCCATTTACTAACTACTCTGACACTGAAAAAGTTCTTTCTAATGTCTCTGTGGCTCATTTGCGTACTCAGCTTCCACCTGTGTCCCCTTGTTCACGTCCCGCCAGTGTTGAATAGTTTATCCTTGTTTACCCGGTCGATTCCCCTGAGGATTTTGTAGATTGTGATCATGTCCCCCCCTTACTCTTCTGTCTTCCAATGTCGTAAGGTGCATTTCCCGCAGCCTTTCCTCATAACTCATGCCTCTTAGTTCTGGGACTAGTCTAGTAGCATACCTTTGGACTTTTTCCAGCTTCGTCTTGTGCTTGACAAGGTACGGGCTCCATGCTGGGGCCGCATACTCCAGGATTGGTCTTACATATGTGGTGTACAAGATTCTGAGTGATTCCTTACACAGGTTCCTGAACGCTGTTCTGATGTTAGCTAGCCTCGCATATGCCGCAGACGTTATTCTCTTTATGTGGGCTTCAGGAGAGAGGTTTGGTGTGTTATCAACTCCTAGATCTTTCTCTCTGTCTGTTTTATTAAGTACTTCATCTCCTATTCTGTATCCTGTGTCTGGCCTCCTGTTTCCACTGCCTAGTTTCATTACTTTGCATTTACTCAAGTTGAACTTCAACAGCCTTTGTTGGACCATTCACTCAGTCTGTCTAGGTCATCTTGTAGCCTCCTACTATCATCCTCTGTTTCAATCCTCCTCATAATTTTTGCATTGTCAGCAAACATTGAGAGGAACGAATCTATACCCTCTGGGAGATCATTTACATATACCAGAAACAGTATAGGTCCAAGGTGGTATGTAGGCTATAGGTGGTATGTAGCCAAGCTTGTAAAGCATAAGGTAGTATTGAAACGATTATAGGAAAAGCTCAATTTGTAAGGTAGTCTTGAAAAGATCGCTTTGTAAGGTCCCGCACAGGAAGAGATTCAGCTAGCCTCAAAGAGTGTCCATCAGTCAGGAAGAGATTCAGCTAATCTTGAAAATATCAATGAACAACACCACCATGGAAGCCGCTAATACTGTTCATCTATGCTACTTGTATCAGATGCAACATCACTGAACGCAGAAAACGATTCATCTATGTATCATCTATATAAATTCGAGATGGCAAGGGTGGGGCTCAGAGCTACAACTGGATACGCTCGCTGTATCATCCTCATAGGTGCTGTATCACTGGCATCCGACCGTTGTGTTAAGCCCTTATTGCGCCTAGCTTCACCAATGTTATGACCCTTATGTTCTTCAAACAATAGGGTCTGAATTGCACCGACTGAGCGCAGTCTTTCAACACCGTGTGAGACAGGTGTTTGAGAGCCAGAGGCATGTGTGCCACAATTGGTTGCTCACGCAGTACTAACCCAGCCAGCAGCCCTTGTCTTTCATATTCGTTATAGCAAAAGGTTCGTTCAGTGTTTGTTGGGTAGGCTGCTCCATTATGACAATCTTTCTTTGTTTCAAATGTGTTCCATTTGTTTTGTATTTGTCACTTACTTCTCAATAATGGAGCGGCGTACCCGACAAACACTGAACGAACCTTTAAGGCATTTGTCCATTTTTCAAATTGTTTCAACAGTTCTTTTATTTTTTTTTTTATTTTTTTTTTTATTTAAGAAACATGGAGCAGCCGACCTGTAGACCACCGAACGAACCTTTTTGACATTTGTATTGGTTTTCAAAATTCTTCATTTTTTTATTATTTACGTTTTTTGTATGTAAGAAACATGGAGCAGCCTACCTGCCGACCACCGAACAAACCTTTTGCTATAAGACAAATGAAAAATAAATATTGAACACATTTGAAGAAAGGAAAATGTCGTAATGGTTTATTCAGTGTATGTAAGGTAGGCTTCTCCATTATTGAGACGTAAATGACAAATACAAAACAAATGGAACACATTTGAAACAAAGAAAGATTGTTATAATGGATCAGCCTACCTGCCGAACACCGAACGAACCTTTTTGACATTTGTTGTATATCAGACATTGCATTTCTTTTTTCCTACAAAAACGTCAATGCTTTCCAACATCTCAGCAGTCACCCTTTTATATCCCAGCATCGTTAGCATCTTTAAACAAGAACAACATAATTTATGTGCATCGTCGGAGGCGTCTAAGAATGTGCAAGAAGCAGCACGACCCCACCATGTGGTGTTGACGTTACTCAAATCAGCGTTCGTCATACGGAACAAGAAAACAAACTAACAAGCATGACGTCACACGAGCTGCGCCGCATGTCTGCGCAGCTTCCCCCCCCCCCCTTCCTCGGGAGGGGGAAGGGGGAGCCCCAAACCCCCGCGCCGGCGATCTCCGCCCAAGTTCCTCGGCTGATGGGATAATGCACGGTCGTGTGGCTCCAGCTCCGGTCTTGTCTCAGTGCTGTGACTTGTTTGCAGTGCTGCTCTTACGGTGGTCGTGTGAGCTGGGAGTAGTATTCTCAGGTACTCGGGCTGCATGTGCTTAGGGTCACCTTCCCTGAGTGCCCAGTAAGTATCGCCCTTGGGGCTTGGGGTTGCCTTCCACAAGTCCCTTGGGTCTACCTCTGTTGGCTTTTCGCTGCTTGTGTTTTGCCTCCCCGAGTGTTTGCGGGTTTTCCTCCCTTGTTTACCTTGGGGTAAGTGGTAGTTATAGCACCAGGGTACTGCGTAGCTAGTTTTCACCTATGACAGCGGTCGGCTCTGTTCCCTCTAGGTACGTTGTCCACTTGTGTGGTTTTTCTTTTATATTTGTTTTTGTCTGGTAGGGGGGTCTGCCATGTGTTCCCCCCCCCCCCTCTTAGGTTCGTTTGTGTTTGGCACCCCCCTGCTTCGCCTTCACGGGTGGACACGTCCCGTTTCAGCTTTAGCAGTTTGCTTGGTAATTTGAGGCGCCAGTTAGCAGTGCCCTGCCTGGGATTTAGCAGACCCAGTCTAGGGGCCCTGGGAAACCCCCCAGGGGGGTCCAATAGTGGAGACCCTTGCGTCCCTTCTCGCTTTGTGCGAGTTGAGGGTTTCTCTGTCCCTTTGTCTCAGGGTGACGCAGCTCCCCCTTCCCCCTCCCGGGGAGGGGGGAGCTGCGCAGACATGCGGCGCGGCTCCTGTGACGTCATGCTTGTTAGTTCGTGTTCCTGGGGGAGTTCTGTACACTCATTTGTCGATTTTTTTTGTTTCTTATCAAAAAGTTTCTTATCCTTCTATTATCTTAGCATCATCAGATGTTCATATAATTCTGTATACCAACTGGTAGATCATTTATGTAGACAATAAACATCACTGGTGCAAGAACTGAACCCTGTGGTACTCCACTTGTGACATTTCTCCAGTCCGATACATTGCCTCTGATCACTGCCCTCATTTTTCTATGTCATTTTCTATGTCATTTTTAAAAATCCAGTTTCCAGAACAACCTCTTATGTGGAACTCTGTCAAAAGCCCTTTTTAGGTCCAGATAGATGCAGTCAACCCAACCATCTCTTTCCTGTAATATATCTGTTGCTCGATCATAGAAACTGAGTAAATTCGATACACAGGATCTTCCAGATCGAAAACCATACTGTCTGTCTGATATTATATCATTTCTCTCCAGGTGTTCTACCCATTTAGTTTTAATTATTTTTTCCAATATTTTGACTATTACACTTGTCAATGATACCGGTCTATAATTAAGGGGGTCTTCCCTGCTTCCACTTTTGTAGATTGGAACTATGTTAGCCTTTTTCCACACATCAGCTACAACTCCTGTAAACAGGGATGACTGAAAAATCAATTAGAGGAATGCTGAGTTCAGGTGCACATTCTCTCATAACCCATGGTGAAACTCCATCTGGACCAACTGCCTTGTTCTTATTTAGCTCCTTGAGCATTTTTTCCACTTCGTCTCTAGACACCTTTATGTGCTGTATGTTGTTCTCTGGAATTCTTATTGTATCTGGTTCCCTGACGATTTCATTTTGTACAAACACACTTTGGAACTTTTTGTTTAACCCTTAAAGTGCGCATCACATCATATGACGTGTTGGAAGTTGTTCCAGTCAACTGCGCATCACGTCATATGACATGTTGGAGTACTACGCAAGATTTAAACTGGTACTTTACATTTCTTTATGAATATTGAATTCCATTCCAGGGAATTCCATTCCATTCCAGGTTATGATGCAGTAAGCTATCTCAGTGATATAGCTTCAGGGAGCCACTGGGGCTCTACCAGAAAGAGGTGTTTCATTACATTCAACACTGGTTTATTAAGTCAGAAACAATATTTGTACCACTGCCATAATCATCTAAGCACCTCAGTCACAATCATGTTTCTAATAAAACAGATGACTTCTTAGCCATGGTAAGGAAGTACATCTTCCCTTTGCTGTTACACATACGGTACTACTTTTGCTGGATGACATGGCTCTATCTCCAATATTATCTCAGAAGAAAAGCCTGTAAAAATGCTTGAGTAATGAGAGATCTGACTAACCTCACACAAAGAAAACACATGGTTGGTATGTGTACCCTCACAGTATGCCTCAGAATAAACATCGCAAACATCCTTGTACAATTTATTATACAGTATAAGGTCGGTAAAACATTTCTAGAATATTAATGTATTTTAAATAATCAGTATTTGACATATTATTGTGTTCTGTACAATATAGTGTACAGTACTGCACAGTAATCTAATAGTTTATAAAGATTTTCACTGTTACTTGTGCAATAAAAATACAATGCAAAATAATTCTGTTATCTTTTTCAGGAACATGCTAAAGAGATTGTACGAGAGCGAGGATTACAGAAAGTGACTGTTGATGATTTAGTAAAGGAAATCACACCTCAAGGCAGACGTAAGAGCAATTGTATTTGGTTATTCTCTAAAGTACAACTTGCCATGTGCTCTTGACAAGGATCATGGACCTAGATTCACAAAGCTCTGTGTATTTCTTCATAAGTATGTGTGCTACGAAGGTTCCTAAGTACCAGCTAAGAACGTGCCAAAAGGCGATTCAGAAAAGTAAACTTACAAAGATTTTTAAGTAGTTCACTTAGGTCTCGCTAGATGTCACTAGGCTTTTAGTTTGGCCAATCAGAGAGAAGGTAACATTTTTCATCTTACAGCTATAGCCAATCACGACGCTAGCATATCAGAGCTTATCCGTGACCACTTGCTACTTATTTACGTCAAATTTTCTTATAAAATTAGTACATTTTGAAGTAAAATTATGTTTTTCAACTTGTACAGTCAGCACTGACATTGTAGTATACAAATATGTTACATTTTTTGTTTACCTACATAATTCTAAGAGATAGTGTATAGCTTTCATTGTAGCTCCCAAGATTTGAGAAGCGATGGTATTTATTTACGTATATATGTAACCCAAGGGCCACTATCTATATAGTGGCCTCGACGAGGACAAAAAACCGGGGGCTTGTTAAGTCCCGCCAATTGTCCTAATGATATTTTCTAGTGGATTTTGGCATTTACGGCTTCAGCGGGTAGGCGGTGCCATGGGTTTATTTATTTATTTATTTATTTCTATACAAGAAAGCACATTGGGTTTGTGAGGATACATAGCATGGTATTTACATTCTTGTAAAGCCATTAGTACCCACAGCGTTTCGGGCAGGTCCTTAACCCTTAAATTACACATCGCATCATATGATGCTTTGGAGTACTATGCAAGATTTAAACGGCCCATGGATACACGGGGTTCACCACACCTTCACCAGGGCTCTTGTAAACAGACGCCATTTAAAAAAAAAATCGTGGGTCAAATTCCCGGGTGTTAGGGGCCTCAGTATTGAGTGAGCTACCAAGCCTGACGCACGCAGCATGAGCTCACAGCACTGCTGTTCAGCTTGTGACCACAGCATCGCCTAAAAATGCCATAATATACTTGTTCATGCTATTATGTAGCGATGATATTATTATAGAAGACCCCTGACTGTGATAAAACTGACCAGGGTTCTGATAATAGCAGGATTGTGGTGATATTTATCGCTGTGCTCCATGGAGGGAGGAGTAATGCTGTGGGAGGGAGGGTAGTGGCATTGTCTTCTGACTGTGTGTGGCCACCTTTTATTGACTGCACTCACCATACCAGCTTAGTGGTTTGCTATGGTGAACACAAATGTAGATACTTATATATAACGTGTTTATAGAGGGTATAAACAGTAATAGGAGAAGGTTGGGAGCCGCCATTTTGGTGAGGGAGGTGATGTCGTCTGCACGACTTATCATGTTGTTTACTGGTGACCACTATGGTCTTTGGGCACCATACCAGTTTACTTGTACAAGTATGGTGAATAAAACAGGTAGACACTTATATATAATGTGTGTATATAGTGTAATAACACCACAAACAGTATTGTTGGAGGAGAAATATTAGTGCGTCTAGCCTTGAGGGCGGCCGCCACCAGCTTACTGTGTGAGTAGCTACGTCTTTGTGCCTTTACTCACCATACAAGCTTAGATGTACAGTTATGGTGAACAAAACATGTAAATACTTATATATAACATCTGTATATTAAAGCAAAAACAGTATGGTGGGAGGAGAATGGTGGCAAGTCAGGTGAGGTGAGGGAGGGAGGGAGTGGCAGCCAGTGGCGGGCTGCCACTGGCTGCCATTGCCACTGCCACTCAGCATACCAACTTAGTGGTTCGTTATGGTGAACACCAATGTAAATACTTATATATAGCGTCTGTATATAGTGAATAAAAGCAAAAACAGTATTGTGGGAGGAGAATGTGGGTGAGTCAGGTGACTTGAGGGAGGGAGGAAGTAGCAGCCAGTGGCGGGCTGCCACTGGCACTGCCACTCAGCATGCCAACTTAGTGGTTCGTTATGGTGAACACGAATGTAGATACTTATATATAACGTCTGTATATAGTGAATAAAAGCAAAAACAGTATGGTGGGAGGAGATTGTGGGCGAGTGAGGTGTTGAGGGAGTGAGTGGCTGGCTGGTGTGTGGCGGTCACTCCTCGTTACTTTTTGACTCATAATAGCAACTTAGTGGTTCGTTATGGTGAACAAAACATGCAGATACTTATTTATAACCTGTGTATATAGTGTAATAACCGACAAAGTATTTGTTCACTGTTTGATGAACATAATTGAATCAACAATATGCACACCATATTTTTGAGTACAGCGATGATTCACTCATTTTATTATATAAATATATCACACTACACACTATTGAATAATATTACAGCAAAAAAACTACGAAAAATCAATCAGAGACATTGAAATAATTAGGTAATTATCTCTTTGTGGCAACTCCGGCCTGACAGCTGGCGAGCAACAAACCATCTGGGACGCACGCCGAGTCAGCGCCTGTTTTTTTCCAGACTTCCCCGCCCTATAGCGGGCAATATATGCCACTTACAATTTTTTTATTATTTTTCCCATGATCAGTGAACACAAATTAAGAGGTTTAGAAGAAAAAAATTTTTTTTTTGTATGCGCCTGTGAGTGACATGTTAACACTTTTGCACTCCGGTGAATGGAAAAAACTTTCCCCTCGTGCGCGCGGCGTTTCGGGCGATCGAGCGGCAACATTTAAAAGTGTATACTCTTGTCAATGTCTTGACATTAATTTTCGATGTACGTATTTCATTTTTGTACCAATGTGTTCGCAATAGAATGTTCTAGAAGAATATAAGTATAAAATGTCACCAAAACATAAGTTAGATCAGCACCAAATAAAAAACTACGTCGATCACTAGCCGTGAGCGCCAGACAGCAATGAAAGGTTTCTTCTATCTTCAGGGTTGTCAACTCCACACTTGTCCTACAGGGTTAATTTTGGTATCACTGAAATCGCAATAAAATTCTCTACACGGACATATGCATGTAAATATAGAATCAATGTCGCAGCTCACCCACAAGAGTGTAGGAAGTGGCCGAAGTGTTACCCGCGGCGGCATATCGGCGAAACCCGCATTGAAAAGTGTATATTCAATTCACTGCCCTGACATTATTTTTTGATGTACGTATTTCATTTTTGTACCAATGTGTTCACAATAGAATGTTCTAGAAGAACATAAGTATAAAACGTCACATAAGGATGCGTTCAACCGGCAACAAATAAAAAAACTACGATTATACTCGTCATGTCAATAATACAATTGTTGTACCACGATGATTCACTGCCATGCCGTTCTCCCAAATAAGCTCTTTGGCTATTAGAGAAAACGTAAATTTCATGGTGAACATTTGTAAACTATCCTCAAATAGATCGGATAGAAATTGGAATTTATACAAATATTTTTTCTCGAGACTCCAGCCGGAGTCACCCATGCGGACACAAGAGAAAACTTGGTGATGATGTCCGGCGCCACCCCTGGGTCAAAGTGTTAAATAGCCAGGCGCCATACAAGGGTTAATCTAACAGATGATTTTAAGTAGGTAAATTCTAGCAGAATTTATAAAATGATAGGTTCATTGCAAGAAAAAAATGAAATGAGAGAGATTAGTAGGCATATTAAAGCACATCGGTAGCTCTGATTGATTGCAATGAACAGCTTGATTGGTAATTTAACAAAGATTAATACGCACAATACAGCATATTGATAGCACATATAAGAAGACAGCATGATCACAATGGTAAAATTGTTTGGATTAGGTACATAATCCTGGGAGGTACGTCCTCCCAGCAAGTATAAGAAATATTGCCGGAACAACCGTGGACATCTTCAAGAGGAAACTAGATTTATTCCTCCAAGGAGTGCCGGACCTACCGGGCAGTGGTGGGTATGTGGGGCCTGCGGGCCGCTCCAAGCAACAGCCTAGTGGACCAAACTCTCACCAAGTCAAGCCTGGCCTCGGGCCGGGCTTGGGGAGTAGAAGAACTCCCAGAACCCCATCAACCAGGTATCAACCAGGTATAAAGATTGGGAGATTGGGAAGCACTAGATACAGTGCAATTTTAAAGCACAAGGTAGGAAACTATGAAGATGAAATTAGGTACAGTACTTTTTAGTTTTGTTTTTGTACGAGGCAAAAGTTGGACAGCTTTTCAATTCATTAGGGAGTGAAATCCGTAGACTAGCTCCCTTTATTTGCATAGTGTGTTTACACAGATTTAGTTTGACTATGGGAATATCAAAATGCTATTTATTTCTGGTGTTGTGATAATGGGTCCTATTACATCTGTCCAGGGAGAGTTTCAGAGCAGGGTTTACATTTAAGAACAGGGCTTTGTAAATGTAATTGACACAAGAGAATGTGTGGAGTGAGTTTATGTTTAGCATGTTTAGGGATTTAAACAAGGGGGCTGAATGTTGTCTGAAAGCAGAGTTTGTTATTATTCTCTCACCCTCCCTGTCCGGCTCGTTGATGCCGTGAGGGGGCTTGGTGGGCGGCTGCTGGAGTGTGATGCTCCATGGGCCAGTCCTCTGTCCTTTTGTGGTCTTATGCTCCTGCTGCTGTCCTCACGAATTTTGCCAGACACCTTTTCCTTTCCTTTTGTTTTGTTTTTCTCCCCCCCCCTCTTCTCCTTTCAGATTGTCATTTCCTGCTGACCTTGTGCCTGTTTTGTTCATTCTTTTGGCCTTCTTTTGTTATGATGCCCGGGTGTTTGATAAGGCATACTCTTGCACCCGTAGAACTATAGTACCCAACGTCGAGAGCGAGGGGAACCTTTTATTGTTAATCCTCCTTTTGTCACTGAACCCGATCTCGACAGACTGACGGTTCTTAAGATGGCATTTGTGGGGCGTATACTTATGACGCACCCCTGGGGGGCCCCAGCATGATCGGCGATAGCTTCTTGTTAGGTGTCCTACCTCTAATTGTGGCTCCATGGTGGGTGTGGGGGGCACATTCGTGAATGAAAGTGTTACTTCTCGTCTTTGTCTGTAAATTTTCCTCTTGTACCCTCTCAGGCTCGTGGGGTGGGCGACCAAGCCCCC